GAAAACTCGCTACACGCGCAACACTTTACCAAATGAGTTCTAATTCATGCCACGTTCCTTGCCTCCGCCCCTCCCGCCGCCGACTGCCCTTCACCGGCAGCCAACAGACTCTCACCCGGCGCGCCCACCCTTCGCGCGAGCTGCCTGCCGCTCACCGGCACACTCGGCTACCCGTTTCTTCCACTCCACCTAGAAGGCGACGCTGTTGTCCGTTTAGCGGCCGAACCGCTGCCAGTCACCCCGCGATGACACCGCGGTCTCCTCGTTCGCAGCCCCCGGGCTCGGGCTGATCTTCGACCCTGACACCGCCGACTTAGCTTCCTCGGGATCGGGCGAATCGTAGAGGAACCTCGGTCCGCTCGTGGATTCACCCCTGAGGCTGGTAACAAGGATAATAACACGGTGATTAGTCCGATGTTCGTGAACGAAGATTTATCTGTATCACGGGGAAGTAAGGATTCGCTAAGTACAGTGTCCCGTAGGTTTGCGAAGAAAATAAGTATCTGATCGTCGTTCGCCTTTGGCGGCGGGGGCCGTGTAAATATCCGCGATCTACCGATATCGAGGAACGATAATCTTTATTATTGTTTGTTCAACCAGTAGGAAATCACCTTAGAGTCCGCGATCTTTGGCCCCGGTAGCCTAATTCCAAGGGTCGTCCTCTTTCTCCCGGATCCTCCGGCGGAAGATATCGATTCCAATCAGTTGGCCAGCGTTCGTTGAATGGTTCCAGGCTCGCAGGACTCCCCTGTGAACCGAGCCCAGTCCCTTTGCACGCGGGAATCCCCGGCTTTGTGGTGGCCCCCGTTGAATCGACTTTCCTCTTGATCTTCCTCGACTCTCTATTCACCTCGCGAGGGTATCGCTACGCGAACTACGAATTCATCTGTACCTCCGGCCGCGGAGTCCCTCCCTCGGTGCCCGCCCCTGGCCATCTATTTATCCTAGATACAAGAACTTCCCTCCGAATTCGAGTCCTCGCAGTCCCAGCCGAGGAACCTCCGAGGCAGCCCTGGTAGGCTTCCAACCTCTGGAGAACCTCTTTCTCAACCCCTATTTATCTGTCCACCCTCCCGAAGACTTCCCTCGACGTTCTCCTTAGTTCCGCCTCCCAGCTGGATCCTCTTCTAGATCGTCTTTCCTCCTATCAGTCGATTGGCAGCAGTGTTTGCCAACGGCCGGCGGTTGACAGCGGACCGAAGCGTCGGCGTCTCCTCGAGCTGAAGCTTCTGCCTCGCGCGTCCTCCCCGCGGACCGTGACGTCGGAGCACAAACTGGACGCAATCGCGCAATGGCTCCTCGGGGAGCAACGATGGACGTGGCCGGCCGATGTCGCAGTTACTGGAACTCGGCCGAAGCCTCGGACCGGAAGCAACGGCGCGCGTGAACGGCCCTCTTCAATCAACGCGGCTCTAATTGGCGGCGTCTCCCAGTGATCAGGCGAGCCAATGTCAACCTCTCGATCGACTAGCGCCGCGGCGATTCCGCAATCTCTTCCACGAGGCGATCGATAGCCTCCGGAGTTCGGTTATTTCGATCCGTGATGTCTTCCCACGAAAAGAGCGTGAGACAAAGTGGAGGGAGGAATCTCTTTTCCTCCGCTCGAGCGACACGGTGTATTCTCGTCAATCTTTCGCGCGTCTCGCCCCTCTCGCGGATCATGGATCTCCCATTTTCACAAATAACCCTCGCACCGGTGTACGTTTTTAGCGTGGCGCTCCGCTATGACAAACGGTACGCGGACGTTTTTAAATAGACGCGAAGTCGCTTCGGCAACGGCGATCACGGCTGGAGGATCGTTTCCCGGCGACTTTCCCTTTCTTTCCTCTCCCCCGGCGGCGCGTGGAGAAAATGACGCACCTCGGGCGACTGAATGGACGCGCTCGAAGGTCGTCGGTGCCTGCTGACAGCGTCGACCGTTAGCTTCTTTCCGCGATCTCGAGGAGAGCCGTTTACACCGTCGACAGCTCGCCGGCGGCGACCGCGCGGACGGAATCGTTGGAATTATTCCACGGGAAGTTTCCCTAACACGGTCAGACCCGTTGGAACGCGGTTAATCCGGGAGGTCGGATCGAAAGGCGCAGCATCCCCCGACGGTTAGACCGAGCGAACGCGACACCGAACAAACACGCCGTCCTCCGGCCCCGTTCTCATTATATCCGGCCAAGTCTTCTCGTCGGTCTCGCGATAATTGTCCACGGCTGCTGTTTTTCCATCGGCTACCGTTCTCCGTTTCCCTCCGCCCCCGGCTCCGACCGACTGTTGTTTGCTTCCTTTCCCTCTTGGGTGGCTCTTTCTCTCCCTCCCTCTCTCCCTCCCTCTCCCTCTCTGTCTCCGTTCGTCTGTTCCTCTCAGTCAGCCTCGCCTCGGGGAAATTTCGTCCGTCGTCTGCCACCTGACACACA